AGTCACGTGAAGTCACGTTATTAGTTGAATTTCTTAAAAGGGGCGTTTTACATCCAATCACATCCACAGCAACAGCCTTGGTCTCGACCATGGATGTATAATAAGAACGGTCTCGACTGGTCTTGACATAAAATCTCGTGACCTATAGGTCCGAGACCGAGACAAGACTGAGACCAAATGCGGTCGATTTCGAGACAAGACCAAGACCGTTAAAAAGTGGTCTCAAGACCAAGACCGGTCTCGAGTACTACAACACTAGTTATAAATTACTAAATCAGAATCAGAACCTTTATTAGTCCCACAGAGGGGACATTTACAAAGTACTAAGAGCTGATACAAAGAGACTGTTTAAGCTGTTTAAAGTGGACTCTATATCATATAAATGGTTATGTTGTTAGAGAAAAACAAGATGGACGTAAAGGGTGGAGTTTTCACCTGAGTAGAGCTGAAGTTTTGTGTTAATCCTGCTTGTTTAAAGTGTAAATATAATCAGATGTACTCACCAGTGTTTGACAGAGACTCTGCTGTGTTGTTGAGAAAGATCTGATGAACTCAGTTTGTATTTTCTTTAGACAGAAACAGAGACTAGTCTCGACTGCAGTGTGGCTGCCTCTCTGACTAACTTAACATTCGTTTCCTGAGTGTGTCGTGGAAGCTCTCCTCTTCCCAGTGTTGTTCCTCCTCTCACTGTCTGCTGGTTTGTTCCCTCCCTCTGATCAACAAGGTTTTCTCTGATAGTTAGGGAGCAAAGGTTCTCCTTCACAGGTGTGTCAAGCCGTTTCTTATCTTTATTATGATCAAGTTTTACTTTAATCAGAAGAGTTCAGTTACATTTATTGGACACACATGTCAGTTAAATGTCATGGATGACATAATCCACATCCATACAACAAGTACAATATGTATCCACTCTAAAACAGAAATCTATATACAATCAAATAAACTAAAGGCCTTTTAGACATTGAATATGTAACATTAGTGGTCATGATAGCAAGGAAGAAGAGTGTTTTCTCTCAGGCAGCATCCCTTATGGATTATTATGGCATTTTGTTGCCTGAATTAAAGCAATCATGTTATCCTGTTCTCTCGTGAGATATTGGGTCTCAATATATGATGCTGAAACATAACAACATGTTAAATGTCCTGAATGCACTGTATAAAAAAAAAAGAGAGAGACGGTAGAGAAAAGTTATCTGCCAGTGATTGGACCTCTTAAATCAAGGTTACTTTAAATATTAAAGGAGCAGTTAAAGCCATGAACAAAATACAAATCTTGCTGTTTTACAGGAAGTTGTTAAATCCATTTCTTGGTTTTTAATTTTGACTTTTATGTGTCTCTGTCGCAGGAAGGAGAAAGCAGCAGGTAGCCACAGAGAGGGCGGGCATGGCAAAGGTGAGCACAAACAGTCCTTTTCGTGTTGTAACGCTTCCTCTTATCTCCTGCCAATCATTTACAGTGTGCTTCATAGTAAGCGGGAAATTGTTAAGTTGCAAAATATATACAAATATTTCTTAGTTTCTCAAATATATAAAACATTTTACCTGAGGAAATCTCTGTGCAAACATCTCTGTATATTATTTACCATATTATTGTTGTTGTTGTTGTTATATCACTGATATTTAGTTTTTCTCTTTGAAACTTATAAATTCAAGAATTCCATAAAAATACAATCCATAATTCAGATGATGTGACAACATTAATTATTATTATTATTGTAGTTATTATGTAGTGTTATTAGTATTAGTATGATACAAGTTATTCTAATACAATTATTATTATTATTATTATTATTATTGTATTCGAAAAAATATATTATTTAATTATTATTATTATGTATATAATAATAATAATATATTTAATTTAATTTTTGTAATTATTATTATTTAATTATAATAATAATATTTTACTATAATTGGTAAACACTATTTTTAGGTTTTATTTTAAAAGCTTTACTTCCTGAATTAGTCTTTTATTTTATATTATATTATGATTGATCTAGTCTATATTGTGTTGCATTGTTGGAGGAGCCTGATCTCTATGGTTTCCCTTGCCAAAGCTGCACTGTATTGAGTGTGCATTTCACAATAAGCGTTTGCATCTTGAAAATTACGAGTGGCTCACAGATCAGATCTGATTATTGACCAATCAGAAACACTTTGACTTCCTGTTGCTGTTTGTCCCGCAGCTCCCCGACCTGAAGGATGCTGAGGCGGTGCAGAAGTTCTTCCTGGAGGAGATCCAGCTGGGGGAGGAGCTGCTGGCTCAGGGTAACACACACACACACACACACACACACACACACACACACACACACACACACACACACACACACACACACACACACACACACACACACACACACACACACACACACACACACACACACACACACACACACACACACACAACACACACACACACACACACACACACACACACACAGGTGTTGCAGCAGACTCTGCCTCCACCCGTCTTCCAGATGCTGCTCACCAAACTGTCCAGCATCAGCCAGGTAGCACAACTCTTACAAACAATCAAACTGCTGCTGTTGCACCAGGTATCACACATTGCTGCTGGGATAAGGTGCTTTGTCTAGGCAAGAATTTTAGCTGTGCAGTTTATTTTCTTAGGTTTCATCAATTAAAAGAAAAAGGAATAATGTTCTTACATCTTCTCTTGCCTTGGTAAAAAAAACATATTCTATTTCTCCACATGTCTACGTATAAACACCTAATCCCCCGTTTCCACCTTCAAACGAAAAAATAAACAAATACTCAAATTAACTAAATAAATTACTCTAAATCTAATTTTTCTATATTAATATGTTTAACTATTAAATACAAAAAAAAGTATAAATAGCTCCGACACTGTTTTTGGATCTCCATTAATCTTCCTGTTCACAAAGCATTAAAAAAAACATTATAAGGATTTTAGCCTTACAAGACCATTTACATGCACTAAAACCTATAGAACACTACAGGAGAGGGAAAACCCCTAAAAGCATACTTCCCTCACTAATTAAAGTTCAAAAATCTGTATAAAATATAAAACAAAAACACTTCCCTGACTCTGCATCTTCATCCTGATTGGTTACTTCCTCTCTGTTAACGCTTGTTGTTTCCTGTCCTTCAGCGTATCGTGAGTGCACAGAGTCTGAGCGAGGACGATATAGAATGAGAGGATCGAAAGGAAACAACCCTTCTTCCTCTTCATCCTCCTCCTCTTCCTCATGTGGACCCCTCCTCTCATGACGACCTGCCAACGCCTCGGCCTCCATCACTCAGGCCGACGTCCATAACTTCCCATCAACGTGTCCTCTAGGGAATTAGTTTTTTATTCCAGCTTTAACCATGACAGTAGTGCCTGTTTGTTTTTTTACTTAAATTACCTGTTTTGGGGTATGAAGAGTTTCCTTATCATAACTGCCAGAGAATTATGTAAATGTGTATGTCATCCGCATAGCTATGGTAACTTATTAACTTATTTTGTTGTTTTTCATTATCTGAGCCAGTGGTAGCATGTAGATGTTAAACTTTGAGAAGAGGCCCCAAGATGGAGCCTTGAGGAACCCCACATGCCATATTTGTCAACTCAGATGTGTATTTACCTATAGAAACGACGTTTTTGCTGTCCTTTAAGTAGGATTCAAACCAATTTAGAACTGTTGCCGAAAGTCCCACCCAGTTTTCCAGTCGGTCTAGTAATATGTTGTGGTTAACAGTGTCAAACGCAGCACTGAGATCTAATAATATACTAACACTGAAGTTCTACCACTGTCTGTGTTTAAGTGGATGTCATTGAAGACCTTTACAAGAGTAGTCTCAGTGCTGTGGATTATAGTCATAGTTGAAATTGGAAAACCCATTTGTCCTTGGTCAACATGAGAGGTTATCCTGTACATGTTTGTCACAAACTGTGTCTCCTCATATATCAGTGTTTGGTTTACAGTACAGTGACTCCATGCTTATCTCTCCTTTGTGTTGTGCTCCATCCAGTGGACACTCTGCACCATAACACCAGGAAGTGGTGGAAGTGTGTTACTGTAGTGTAGTACAACAACAAAAACACAATGAAGTCAGTGCTGAGGTTTATATGAAGCTCAGCGCAAGTTCTTTCAGGAAGACTGGGTATATACATTCACTCCGCAGCTGCATATAATCAGCTCATCACGGGCGTTGTCTATAACCTATTACATTCACCTCATTCTCCAGCAGCCAATCACTGTGCTGCAGCCAAACTTTAAAATGGTTCTCCTCTCTCCTGCAGTCAGCTGTGATTTCAGGTGTTCATGCTCCCGCCCGCCTCCTCTCCATCCACCTCCTTTCATCATATCCAGTGCCAGGAGAGCTAATCCAAAGACCTCATCACACCTCCTCTTCATCCCATCTCCTCATCAAATCCAGATCTTCAGCTTCATCACCAGTGTCTAGAACCCGGGGGGTTCCCTTTATGCTCACGGCTGCATTTCCCCTTTAGATATACGATTTCAGGATCGGGGTCTAATCCCCAAAGACTTAACATTTATCATATGACATGTGTCAATAAATGTTCTTTAAACAAAATGAAGTCTCTCCTGATTGAAATGGTATTATACTGTTAAACTTGCATTAAATACCACAGTACTATTTTTGCAATGCCATTTCTTGACTATTTTAAAATCTGTCTCAAAAGGCCTTATAAACATGTGAGGAAATTTTTCATGCATAACGTTGAGCAACAAATAAAACAGCAGTTATTGTTGTTTAGATTCTAAAATGAGATACAATGTAATCCTTCTTACCTTAACATACATACTGTATACTGAGTTTTGAATCACTGAAATAAAAAATAAAATAAAAGGCTATCTGCCATGTTTTTTAAATCTTGCCTGATTCATAGATTGGTTTTGATCCTTGACATACGGAAACCCATCAAGATTCCTATTGTGTTTTTAAGACTTGTTTCCTGTCATCTGAAATAACACTGAACACATTACTCACACAAACAACAAAGACCAGTGACCTTGAAATTAGTATATCTATTTCTTTATTTAAAATTGTGCTTGTCAAATTTTTTATCTTGAATGAAAGAAAACATATTTAATCCGTTTCACATTGAGTTCTTGTTTAGTTAAAAGATTATAAAAATGTGCTGGGAGGGAAATCATTTGAAAAGGCATTTTTTCAAAGTATAACAAAAAGAGGGTTTCGTGTATGCATGATGAGTTAAAACTGAGAACCTGGGAAGAGGTGTATACTGGCTTTTGGCCAACCCCCGTTAGTCATGTGACCCTCATCACATTTCACCCAGTTGTTTCTACCACACACACAACAAACACACATACGTGTTGACACAATGCAAACAAATGTAGGACATCATGTTGATTCAGCTTTTTATATCACAAAGGGGGAAACTAGTTTTATAAAAATATGGCAAAACTACAGGAAGCAAATGATAGGTCTAACTGTTATATCCTTACAAAATATCATTAAATCAAACCTAATTTTTCCTTGTATTAGTTGTTGGCATAAATACTTGTATAATACTAAACTCTGTAGAAGTTACTTCATTGTAAAGAGTAGTTTTTGTGTTATAGTGACTGCCTTCACTCATAAAAGTGAATGCTATCTCACTGATATCAGTTTGCTCTACAGCCAATATCCAATCACTGATAGTGGAAACACACATTTCATCCTACAAGCTCTTCACACAAAAATAAATCAACTTATATTTTATTTAATGTGAAGCCTCAGGAAATGTGTCATGAAATACAAATGATGTGTAAACCAGGCCTTCCTGTTCAGTGTTTAGTGCTCGAGTCCCTGCTTTCTCAGACCAAACATCTAGTTTATTTGACTGTTTTCTTAACTCACAATCACATATTTACAGATGTCTTTGATTCATAAGCCCTTTTACCAGTAATCAATATAAAACCTGGCATGTAGATATACAAGTTAACAGTTATTAACCAAACCATTTGAACACAAATGAGGATTTATCATATTATTTAGCTTCATTTTACTTTTTCTAGCAGTATAACTATTACACACATTTTATTTAGTACACAGTAGAGGCACGTAATAAGCCTTTCTCTTTAACGAAGCTTTACAACAATTACATATAAAACATTTAATGTTATTATCAACTCTAACTATAGCTTGACAAATTTGGTGTCATTAGAAAAAAACCTTTTTTTTAAGTTACAATAAATCTATAGCTTTACCCAAAGTTCATAGATATTCTCCATATGTGTTACGATAAAGTGTTGAAGAGATAATTATTTGATTGTTGAGTTGATTAATGCATCCACTTAAATATTATTATGTAAATCAATCACCACATTAAACTTATTTTGTAGAAAATAAGATGGAAACTATACAGTTTTGACTCTAAATATCGATGTTCGTTCCCTTGAATGAAAACAAATCAACACATGAAATTAGATGAGTGATTAGGTGACTCTGACAGGAGAGATGATCAGAGGTGCAGAGTTTTTACGGCCATATTTAAGACCAGGACTGAAGTATGGGAAGAGTTTCCCGTTGAAGGAGCAGCCAGTAAAGGAGTAGATAAGAGCTGCAGCATCTACGTCATAAAAGGAGACCAGACCCTCCTCATAATCCACAAACACCCCCACCTTCTTAGGCCGAGACTTCAGAGAGAGAAGAACTAGAGGAGCATCAAGAGCTTCGTACTCGAATCCCTTTGTCAACCATATAGCCCAGTAACCCTCCTCAGGGTTCAGTGTGACCTCTCTCTTCCTGTTGATCGACTCTCTGGCCACTCCAAAATCCCATTCAGTCTTTCCTTTAACTTGAACCTCAAAGTAGAATTTGCCTGAAGAGAAACTCTGCTTTCCTAAAACACTATTAGCTTCAGAAAATCTCTCTGGGTTTTCTGGGAGATTCTTTTCCACACCACCATCGCTGACTTGTTTTCCATCATCAGACAGGATGAGAGTGGGATATGCTGTATCAGGATCAAGAGTCACATCCACTGCGTACCTCTGGACCCTCCTCACATCAGCTTCAAGCAGCTTCTTCATCTCTTTACTGAGTGTCTCCTCCAGCTGAACCACAGCTCTCACCACAGTTCCTTCATATGATGATGGAGGGATGCTGACCTTTGTCCAGTCCTTGGTGGGTGATGGGTGTTGGATGTTTAGGGACTGGACACCCTGCAGAACGTGGAGGTGGTCTTCAGACCGTGAGAGCTGCTCAACTTTTGCACTTCTCTTCTTCAGCTGAGAGATTTCCTGTTCCAGCTCTTTGATGAAGTCTTCAGCCCGTTTCATTCTCATGTTCTGCTTCTCTTCTATTGTTTGGATGAACTCATTCAGGTTTCTCTCAACAGACTCCTTCAGAGCAGTGAAGACCTGAACTCCTTCTGCTATCTCTCTGTCTGCTTCTTCCTTACTGAGGTCCACTGAGTGTTGGATCTCCTCAATCTTCAGTTGTCTCTTCTGGATCATTTCCTGAATTCTAGCCTCTTTCTTTCCCAGCGCTGCCTTCTTCCCTTCATATCCTTCTTTGAGAGGAACCACATCATGCATCTTGTGGTCTAAAACAGTGCAGAGCATGCAGACACATGTCTGGTCGGTCTTACAGAACAGCTCCAGAGGTTTATCGTGCTTCGGACACATCCTGTCTTCCAGGTTCTCCACAGGGTCGATCAGCTGATGTCTTTTCAGACCTGACTTTGTCAGATGAGGCTCCAGGTGAGTCTCACAGTAGGAGGTCAGACACACCAGGCAGGACTTCAGGGCCTTCAGTTTGGTTTCAGTGCAGACGTCACAGGGAACTTCTGCTGGTTTGAAGACTTGTTGCTCTGAGCTGCTGCTGCTGCTGCTGGCTTTCTGTTGAGCCGACTGTCTGAACTGAGCGACCATCTCAGAGATGAAAGTGTTGACCCTCAAATCTGGTCTTGTATTAAAAGCCTCTTTACACATGGGACACTGGCACCTGTCACTTGTATCCCAGTGTTCTTCGATGCAGTCTTTACAGAAGTTGTGTCCACATGGTATAGTGACTGGATCAGTGAACAAATCCAGACAGATGGAGCAGAGAAACTGATCTTCAGATGGCAGGTAGCTTGCAGAAGCCATATCTACACACATAATGAGGGGAAAAAATAAAACATTTAAAACATCAATCATCAATTCATATCATATATTGTTTTAAAGAAAGAACTTTGATAACTTGTAACAAGCCATGAGCAACCGTGACCATTTAATCTCTGACAGGTTCAAGCATGCAACTCTACAAAACATTTGTATTGAAAAATGACACTGCTCTTCTTACTGTGTGACCATAGCGTTTAATTTCCTTGAGCTGCTTCACATTAAAAGCCTCCAACTGTTTCTCTAATGGAAAGATTTTATTTTGAAACAGCTAGAGGAAATGGGTAAAAGCATTATGTAGGAAGTGATCAGCAAAATGTAATAATAGCAGGAGAGCAGAAGTGAATACAAACTCCCACCACAGAGATTCAGTTACAAGTTACTAAGAGCTGATACAAAGAGACTGTTTAAGCTGTTTTAAAGTGGACTCTATATCATATATATGGTTATGTTGTTAGAGAAAAACAAGTTGGACGTAAAGGGTGGAGCTTTCTCCTGAGAATGGCTGTTTTGTGTTAATCCTGCTTGTTGAAAGTGTAAATATAATCAGATGTACTCACCAGTGTTTGACAGAGACTCTGCTGTGTTGTTGAGAAAGATCTGATGAACTCAGTTTGTATTTTCTTTAGACAGAAACGGAGACTAGTCTCGACTGCAGTGTGGCTGCCTCTCTGACTAACATAACTTTAGTTTCCTGAGTGTGTCGTGTAAGCTCTCCTCTTCCCAATGTAGTTCCTCCTCTCACTGTCTGCTGGTTTGTTCCCTCCCTCTGATCTGCATGGGTATTGAGAAATACCAGGTTTTCTCTGATAGTTATGGAGCAAAGGTGGTGCTTTACAGATGGGAGGAGTAAGGTGTGTCAAAAGCTGTTTCAACTCAAATCTCTTGAAGAAGAAATATTCATGGTCATAGTTGAACTATTACATTGAACACCATTGAAAAAACCCATTTGTCCTTGGTCAACATGAGAGGTTATCCTGTACATGTTTATCACAAACTGTGTCTCCACATATATCAGTGTTTGGTTTACAGTACAGTGACTCCATGCTCATCTCTCCTTTGTGTTGTGCTCCATCCAGTGGACACTCTGCGCCAGAACACCAGGAAGTGGTGGAAGTGTGTTACTGTAGTGTAGTACAACAAAAACACAATGAACTCAGTGCTGAGGTCCATATGGTATTATCCTGTTAAACTTGCATTAAATACCACAGTACTATTTTTGCAATGCCATTTCTTGACTATTTTTAAATCTGTCTCAAAAGGCCTTATACAAATGTGAGGAGATTTTTCATGCATAACGTTGAGCAACAAATAAAACAGCAATTATTGTTGTTTAGATTCTAAAATCAGATAAAATGTAATCCTGCTTACCTTAACATATACAGAGTTTTGAACCACTGAAATAAAAAATAAAATAAAAGGCTATTTGCCATGTTTTTTTAAAATCTTGCCTAATTTATAGATAGGTTTTGATCCTTGACATACGGAAACACATCAAGATTTCCTATTGTGTTTTTAAGACTGGTTTCCTGTCATCTGAAATAACACTGAACACATTACTCACACAAACAACAAAGACCAGTGACCTTGAAATTAGTATATATATTTTTTTTATTTAAAATTGTGCTCGTCAAGACTGTTATCTTGGATCATGGATGAAAGGCAAAATATTTAATCCGTTACACATTGAGTTCTTGTTGAGTTCAGTGATTATAAAAATGTGCTGGGATGGAAATCATTTGAAAAGGCATTTTTTCAAAGTATAAGAAAAGGAGAGTTTCGTGTATGCATGATGAGTTAAAACTGAGAACCTGTGAAGAGGTGTATTCTGGCTTTTTGCCAACCCCCGTTAGTCATGTGACCCTCATCACATTTCACCCAGTTGTTTCTACCACACACACACACACACAACAAACACACATAAGTGTTGACACAATGCAAACAAATGTAGGACATCATGTTGATTCAGCTTTTTATATCACAAAGGGGAAACTAGTTTTATAAAAAGATGGCAAAACTACAGGAAGCAAATGGTAGGGCTAACTGTAATATCCTTCCAAAGTATCATTAAATCAAACCCCATTTTTCCTTATATTAGTTGTTGGCATAAATACTTGTATAATACTAAACTCTGTAGAAGTTACTTCATTGTAAAGAGTAGTTTTTGTGTTATAGTGACTGCCTTCACTCGTAAAAGTGAATGCTATCTCACTGATATCAGCCCCACTGTTTTCTGCTCTACAGCCAATATCCAATCACTGCTAGTGGAAACAAACATTTCTTCCTACAAACTTTTACACAAAAAGACATCAACTTATATTTTTTTAATTGTGAATTAGCCACAGGAAATGTGTCATGAAATACAAATGATATGTAAATGATGCCTTCCTGTTCAGTGTTTAGTGCTCGAGTCCCTGCTTTCTCAGACCTTGTGTTCAACATGCAGTTTATTTAAACATTTTCTTAACTCAAAATCACATATTTACAGATGTCTTTGATTCGTAAGCCATTTTACCAGTAATCAATATAACACCTGGAATGTAAATATACAAGTTAACAGTTATTAACCAAACCATATTTAACAAAAATGAGGATTTATCATAATTTTACTTTTTCTAGCAGTAAAACTATTACACACATTTGATTTACTATACAGTAGAGGCACGTAATAGGCCTTTCTCTTTAACAAAGCTTTATGACATTTATGTTATTATCAACTCTAACTGTAGCTTGACAAATTTGGTGTCATTAGAAACAACCTTTTTTTTTTTTTAAATACATCTGTAGCTTTATCAATCATTCATATAGATATTCTCCACATGTGTTACGATAAGGTGTTGAAGAGATAATTATTGGATTGTTGAGTAGATGAATGCATCCACTTATGTGTTGTATACAGAATCTAAACCATATGTTAATCATTCACCACAGTAAACTTATTTTGTAGAAAATGTGATGAAAATGATACAGTTTTGACTCTAAATATCGATGTTTGTTTCCTTGAATGAAAACAAATCAACACATGAAATAAGATGAGTGATTAGTTTACAGGAGAGATGATCAGAGGTGCAGCGTTTTTACGGCCATATTGAAGTCCAGGACTGAAGAATGGGTAGAGTTTCTCAGTGAAGGAGCAGCCAGTAAAGGAGTAGATCAGAGCTGCAGCATCTACGTCATAAAAGGAGACCAGACCCTCCTCATAATCCACAAACACCCCCACCTTCTGAGGCTGAGACTTCAGAGAGTGAAGAACTAGAGGAGCATCAAGGGCTTTGTACTCATTTCCATTTCTCAAATGTATAGTCCAGTAACCATTTTCTGGGCTCAGTGTGATCTTTCCCTTCCTCTTGATCGACTTTCTGGCCACTCCTATATACCATTCAGTTTTTCCTTTAACTTGAACCTCGTAATAAAATCTGCCTGAAGAGAAACTCTGATTTCCTAAAACACAATTCCAATCAGAAAATCTCTCCGGGTTGTCTGGGAGATTCTTTCTCACTTCACCATCGCTGACTTGTTTTCCATCACGCGACAGGATGAGACGGGGATGTGCTGTATCAGGATCAAGAGAAACATCCACTGCATACCTCTGGACCCTCTTCAGCTCAGCTTCAATGAACTCCTTCATCTCTTTACTGAGTGTCTCCTCCAGCTGAACCACAGCTCTCACCACAGTCTCTTCATATGATGATGGAGGGATGCTGACCTTTGTCCAGTCCTTGGTGGGTGATGGGTGTTGGATGTTTAGAGACTGGAAACCCTGGAGAAGATGGAGGGGGTCTTCAGACCGTGAGAGATGCTCCGCCACAGAGCTTCTCTTCTTCAGCTGAGAGATTTCCTGTTCCAGCTCTTTGATGAAGTCTTCAGCCCGTTTCATTCTCATGTTCTGCTTGTCTACTATTGTTTGGATGAACTCATTCAGGTTTCTCTCAACAGACTCCTTCAGAGCAGTGAAGACCTGAACTCCTTCTGCTATCTCTCTGTCTGCTTCTTTCTCACTGAGGTCCACTGAGTGTTTGATCTCCTCGATCTTCAGTTGTCTCTTCTGGATCATCTGCTGAGTTTCAGCCTCTGTCTTCCACAACTCGGCCTTCTTTCTTTCATATCCTTCTTTGAGAGGAACCACATCATGCCTCTTGTGGTCTAAAACAGTGCAGAGCCTACAGACACATGTGTGGTCGGTCTTACAGAACAGCTCCAGAGGTTTATCGTGCTTCGGACACATCCTGTCTTCCAGGTTCTCCACAAGGTCGATCAGCTGATGTCTTTTCAGACCTGACATTTTCAGATGAGGCTCCATGTGAGTCTCACAGTAGGAGGTCAGACACACCAGGCAGGACTTCAGGGCCTTCAGTTTGGTTCCAGTGCAGACGTCACAGGGAACTTCTCCTGGTTTGAAGACTTGTTGCTCTGACTGTCTGAACTGAGCGACCATCTCAGAGATGAAAGTGTTAACGTGAAGCTCAGGTCTTGTGTAGAACTCTTTTTTACACATGGGACACTGGTACCTGTCACTTCTATCCCAGTGTTCAGTGATGCAGTCTTTACAGAAGTTGTGTCCACATGGTATAGTGACTGGATCAGTGAACACATCCAGACAGATGGAGCAGAGAAACTGATCTTCAGATGTCAGGTAGCTTGCAGCAGCCATATCTACACACGAGAAAAAAAAAGAGAAAACATTTGAAACATCAATTCATATCATATATTGTTTTAAAGAAAGAAGTTTGATAATTTGTAACAAGTCATGAGCAACCGTGACCATTTAACTCTGACAGGTTCAAGCATGCAACCCTATATACAAATAGCGGCGGCGACAGCCAGGTACCCAAAAAAGATTAAATTATTTTTTTTACTTTTATTTAATTAAATGAAAATAATAATAAGTGGCGACCTTTTTTCCTTTTTGATTGTTTGTTATGTGGATTTGTAGTATTTGTGTTACTGTATGTTCAATAAAGGTGTATTTTTGCTAAATCTTGAGACATTGCCACTGTATGTACTAGGCAGGGCCGATTTTTGGCATATGCGACATAGGCGCCCGCCTCGGCCGCCAGATCTGGGGGGCGCTGCGCTGGTAGCTCTGGGAGGGGAAAAAACATTTTTGACTGTTGGCGCTCATCCTAATATTTGGTCTTGATGTAACAACATTCATAAATAAGTAAATGTAACACCCTTTTCACCCCGGTTACACTTTTCATTTGCCCTGTACGATGGGCCCTGTAAGTGATGAAAGTGGGGGATGTTGGCTTATCTATGGGATTAGTTTTGTTTCATAAAGATAAAGCAACACTTTCTCAGAATCAAGCAAAACTAAGAGGTTAAGACAAAAAAAGCAGAATAAATGTAATTTAAAAAATAAAACTATAAGTTGCAAACAAATTATTTGTGTAATCATGTAAACTATAAGTCTTTTTTCTTTGTTTTAACATATATTTTTGTTTGCAGTTCTCTTTGCTTCTTTCTCAATGATCAGACTTTTGCTCTCGCTGCAGCTCTTGTTTGCGCTCCCTCATTTTTTGTTTTTGATTCTGACACAAACGTCCCAGGTAGACTTTCAGGGGTGCGTTCCCATTGGCTACTCAGTTTTTGAGTGACAGCCCACTACACCACAGATTATACAGTGCAACTCATGCAGCAAACTCCGGAGTCCACTCGGCCACGTTTGTGTTGGTGCCTCCTGGGGAGTTTTCATGAACATATCAGACTTATCTTATGGATTGCTGTGCATTATACTTGTGTTGTGTAGTTTATACTTTATTCCAACTTTA